TGGCCACCGACTGCCCTACTGGCCGCGACTTTTGGTGTCGGCCGATGTGCGATTGGATCCACAGCTGCTCTGACTTGCTGCCCACTGCAGCAGGCCTGAGACAACTACTACTGCATTGACGAGCGGAGACCACCCCAAGCTGCTGCTCCTACTACTCACAGTTTTTCACCAATCTGTCCACACCGACTGCCCGCTGCTGCACCTGCCAGTGGCGGTCGATTGGATGGAACCTTGGCGTATTTTCCTGGCCCTCTGGGATAAACACACTGACCAACTCATCGGGATAACCCAGCTACAGCAAGGATTTGCTGCTGCCTACCACACTGGACACCGACTGCCCTACTGGCTGCGACTGTTGGTGTTGGCTGATGTGCGACTTGATTCACTGCCACTCTGGCCTGCTGCTCACTGCAGCGGACCTGAGACTCCTACTACTGCATCGGCGAGTGGAGGCCACCCTAGGCTCCCGCTCCAAAACTTACGGCATCACTGATCTGTCCACACCGGCTGCCCACTGATACACACCAGGATCTGCAATTATAACCTACCCATACTACTGTCTCTGCCCATCAGACTGGCCACGTTGATTTGCTGCTGCCCACCAACTGGTCTACATCCAGAGCTACTGCTCTGGATCGTAGCCCTTGCAGCCTGCTATAACTTCAACCACTACGTAAATGGCTGCCACCTGCCGTACTACCATACAAAGGTGCTCCTCGCCAGTGGCAGTTGATTGGGCGATACCTGACGCATTTCTGGATGACCCAGCTACAGCAGGGACTGGCTGCTACCTACCACACTGGCCACGACTGCCCTACTGGCCGCGACTGTTGGTGTCGGCTGATGTGCGACTGGATCCACTGCTGCCTGGCTTGCTGCCCACTGCAGCGGGCCTGAGATTTTTCACTACTGCATTGGCGAGGAAGACCATCCCAAGCTGCTGCTCCTAATACCCACAGTGTCACAAATCTGTCCACACCGAACACCCACTGCTGTACCTGCCAGTGGCGGTCGATTGGATGGAACCTTGACGTATTTTCCTGGCCCTATGGGATGACCACACTGGCCAACGCACCGGGATAACCCAGCTACAGCAAGGACTGGCTGCTGCCTACCACCCTGGCCACCGACTGCCCTACTGGCCGCGACTTTTGGTGTCGGCCGATGTGCGATTGGATCCACAGCTGCTCTGACTTGCTGCCCACTGCAGCAGGCCTGAGACATCTACTACTGCATTGACGAGCGGAGACCACCCCAAGCTGCTGCTCCTACTACTCACAGTTTTTCACCAATCTGTCCACACCGACTGCCCGCTGCTGCACCTGCCAGTGGCGGTCGATTGGATGGAACCTTGGCGTATTTTCCTGGCCCTCTGGAATGAACACACTGGCTAACTCATCGGGATAACTCAGCTACAGCAAGGATTTGCTGCTGCCTACCACACTGGACACCGACTGCCCTACTGGCTGCGACTGTTGGTGTTGGCTGATGTGCGACTGGATCCACTGCCGCTCTGGCTTGCTGCTCACTGCAGCGGACCTGAGACTCCTACTACTGCATCGGCGAGTGGAGGCCACCCTAGGCTCCCGCTCCAAAACTTACGGCATCACTGATCTGTCCACACCGGCTGCCCACTGATACACACCAGGATCTGCAATTATAACCTACCCATACTACTGTCTCTGCCCATCAGACTGGCCACGTTGGTCGGCGCATCTGGAGGCTCCAATGGAGCGGGACCTAGCTGCTGCCCACCAAAATTGGCTGCTGTCTGCCCTACCGGCAGCACCTGCTTCCGCAGGCCATTGCGTGGCTGCATTAAATGCCGCTGCCCTGGATCGCTGCCACCAGCTGAACAGGGAGCCAATACTGCATAAACGTCTGCACACTTGTAGACTTGTGCCATAGGGCCGCCATTCATAGGACTCCTGAATGCCTGCACCGACGTTCTGGATTCTGGGCGCCCCCACCCCGGGACCTCCGATCCAGACTAGCCCCCTGCCACCGATCCTACAAAATTACCTACCAATGACCCGGACCATATCTGGATAAAAACAATTTAAAGTATGTCTAAATAAACTTTTATTTTTGATCACGTATTAAAACGCTACACAATGTAAACGGGTTTACGAAGTTAACACTTAAATTAAATAATTAACTTATCCTGTAAATTAAAACACACTTCTAAACGTAACAAATAACCCTGAATATGTTAACCTATTACTAATAAGAAATTATGTAAATTTAACTAATGCTAAAGACATAGACTACTTAAATTACACTACCTAAATTAATCTAAATTAATCTAATTCAATTGATGCTAAAACGTAGACTATATAGTTACAGAAAAATCCCAACAATTCATAACTAACAGAACACAAAACGTACTACACAATTACTTTGATAATCTATATTCTTTATTTTGTATAATTTGTCTTATTCAAACTTTATGAGCAAATGTAAACATCTTAGCCAGTCATAATCATCGGCAACTAAACTCCAATCTCTATGTGCAAATAAGCCGTTAAGTAAGGTTCCCGCAAAAGCTCTTAGACATATTTCATAAACATCTACATGTATACTAGAAGTAAAGGAATAAAGAATAGCTGGCCGTCTTGTCAGTCTTATTAGTGCTCGCTTCCGTACGACACACACCTCAAAAGTCTTGTCAGTCTTATTAGTGCTCGCTTCCGTACGACACACACCTCATTCACTAAAGATTGACGCAACTACAACTGACACTGAGAGGTCCTGGACAAGGACTTTGGAAGAGAAGGCCCAAACATTCGCTACACACCTCGAGTCACGGTTTATTCCAAATGAGAGGAACAATACTAATGACAGAAATTTGATACTCGACCAAATAAACAAATATCAAACTTTTAGGTCCTCAATTAAAAATAAAAAAGCCCTCAGACCTGTCACCCTGTCCGAACTAAATCAGCTAATTGACGTTCTAGAGCCACTCAAAGCACCAGGATATGACAATATCGACAACAAGCTCATAAAAATACTTCCCATGAAAGCCAGACTCTACCTTTTGCTGATTTACAACAACATCCTTCGAACAGAACACTTCCCCTCACAATGGAAGCACGCGGTAATTACCATGGTCCTTAAGCCAGGCAAATCACCATCCGACACAAAATCCTACAGGCCTATTAGTTTACTCTCCGGGCTATCTAAGATTTTTGAACGGATATTATTGACAAGACTTTTTGAAAATGATGCCTTCTCGAAAGCCATCCCCAACCATCAATTTGGTTTCAGGAGGGAACACGGAGCTGAGCACCAGCTCACAAGAGTCACACGTTTTGTCCTTAAGGCGCAGGAAGACAAAGAGGTTTGTTCCGCTACATTTATAGACGTCACGGAGGCATTTGATAGGGTTTGGCATGAGGGTCTACTGGCAAAACTGGGTAAGCTACTGCCAAGCAACCTTTATTATATTATGGAAAGCTACCTGAGGAACAGAACCTTCACTGTCAGAATTAACAGTGAAACTACTTCTAGACTGGGCAAAATTGCAGCTGGAGTTCCGCAGGGAAGCAACCTTGGCCCCATTCTATACTCTGTTTTCACCTCTGACATGCCGATCCCTTTCATACCCCCGAAATTCCCTTCCCTCTACTTCCCTAATTTCTTTCCCAAGGAGTTAATGCTGGCCACGTATGCAGACGACACCGTAATCTGCACTCGAGCCAGCACGGCTAGAGAAGCAACCTCCCTCAGCCAAAGGTTAGTAAATGAATTCTGCGAATGGGCCAAACAATGGAATATAAAAATCAACGGGGCTAAAACCAGCCATATTCTATTCACCCTCAAAGGGGGACTAGCAAATAGACATACCCCTCTGTTGGTGGACGGCCAAAAAGCAGCAACAGGCAACAAACAAAAATACTTGGGCGTCATTCTAGATAAAAGGCTTTCATTTAGACCCCATGTTGCCCTACTAAAGGCCAAAATACTGTCGGCCTACAAAAAAATGGAATGGATTCTGGGCCCCAGAAGCAAACTAAATAAAAACACCAAGCTGCTTCTATTTAAACAAATTATCTCCCCTATTTGGCACTACTGCATTGCAGTATGGGGCTCACTCGCGTCGCAAACCAGCGCCAAAAAGATCCAAGGATTGGAAAACAGACTCATCAGGAAATCCATCAAAGCCCCCAGATACACTAAACAATCGGACATCAGACAAAGGTATAACATCAAGTCCCTCCCAGAAATCTTTGACCAGGCTAGCAAACGTCTTGCAGACTCCATTGCCTCCCACCCGAACCCCCTAATTAAGGACCTCCTCCTCAACCCTTATGTTCCGGAGAGACTGGTAGCAAAAAGGAAGAAATATTTGGAGCAATACCACAAATATCTTCTGCCTAAACGGCCAAATACTCCTGCACCTACAGTTCGAAAAACCTCGAAATTCTCGCTCACTACGACTGAGATTAGGACCATAAACAAGGAACTACGAAATGAACGAAGAAACAGCCTTCCTACTCTTCTCCGACGCAAGGACGAGAAGGAAGAAGCGGAGGAAATTCATGCTGCTAATAAGGCGTCATACGAAAGACTCCTAGCCTTAAGGAGGAACCCCCTGACAGGTGGGGGGAGGGTGCCATTAACGGATACAACAAATTATATAAACAGAATAGAATCTCCAAAGTTGACCTACTAGACAAAATGGAGGGACAGCCACTGGGAATAATTCGCATTATCATCCCTGACTACCTGATACACCTACCTAACCAAAAGTTGTATTATTCTAATGATTGGGCCAACCTTAGGCCCCACCCTCCATAAGACTATTTGCTCAACTAACTTACATCTAACTTGCCTACCAATGAAATACTCTACACATATAATTATGCCGCTCCGCTGCCAACAATCGTATCTTCCGTATGTCCTGCTGCCCTGCTGATGGTCTGTCCTTTTCTTCTTTCCTGTGGACAACAAATAATAAATAAAACTGTTCAAGGAAAAAGAACGGTATCAACAGACCATACTCAACCTACAGAGCGATCCTCAAACGTAGGTAAAACCCACTCAGTGCCCCTGACTTCCATTTTTTCTGTCTCTTATGTGAGCTGACAGGAATGAACTGAGCAAGACGACAGAAATCACATCCTTTCCTGAACCCGCTGGCTGAAGCATCTTGGCCCGAAAATGACATAAACTGATTGCTTCCTGTGATTGCGAGATAGGTTGAAGGGTTTGCGGTCTTCTCTGTCTTGATAACTTTGAAATAGTCTGTGCGGGGGCTCCTTAATGGTGTGAGGTTATAAAATAACACCTAAATAATAGGAAAAAGGGGTGATTAGGAAACAAAAATCTGGCAAATAATAATAAATGAAATACCAACCTGATGCTAACATAGAAACTGTTCTCAAATTGCTGAAAAACTAAACTTAAAAACATTTACCTCTCACGTAAGAAGAGTCCTCGTCAGACGCAGCTCTCCCAAGCCTGGGGTCCTTACTGTGCCAACTCAGCTCTCCCCAATACGGAGTCCAAAATCCTTGCTATAGACACGCCGGCTGAATGAGGGTCCCTTCCTAGACAGCTCTCCCAAAAACTTGGGGTCCTGACTGCATTTCTAGGCTCTCCACACTGCCGAACACAGAAATTGTTTATCTATTACAAATACTAACTCACCTGCATATATTACGAAGTCCTTAGAAGCTCGCCCAGATACATCGTCCGGCGTCCTCATGCCTTCCCTGGCTCCTGGCGCTCAACTCGCACTGGATGGATTAAATTGCGCAGGGTACGGGCCTCCTCTACCCACCCCGTCTGCTGCGTTAAAAATGTTCCTTTTTGTGGGCACTTAATCCTGGTTCGCCAACACCGTCGACTGCAGCGTGGGAGTCCTTGGCCTTCAAGCGGTTTATCCTAAAAGAAGAAAATAAATTATCCAGTGTATATTTTCTTTTATTAGTCTGAAGCTTTTCCCATACTAATCTGCTGCATGAAGACTGCCGTCCGGAAATACTCACCTTGGTACCTATCAGCATGGTGGCTGCCTTACTTTGCCACTGTTCCTGAAAAAATAAATCAAATAAATAAATTAGGGAAATCAAAACAAACCACAATCAAACTCACCTGTTCGCTGGCTCGGGCGAATCCTGCAAGCACAGCCAGAATAGTGGCTGCTGACTGAAAAAACATTGCCAACACCACGACGAAGTCCACAAGGGCTGATGCTGACCACGGCAAGCGTCTGGCCGACAACAAATTTGCCACTTGCGCTCTGTCGGTTGCAGGAAAGATCTCCGACCTCTGCTTGATGCTGGTTTACCGACCGTGCTGCTCCACTTGCATCATCATCCAACGAATCCTGAAATTACAAAAAAAGCGTATTGAGTAGCGTGCATTTTTTTTTTGCAAACACTTGAAATTACCCACCTGATGAATCCCTCACGCCGGCTGTTGCTTGTACTTCCTGTCTCCCTTGTACATCCGGATCGATGCACACTAGCCAGTGGTGGCTCAAGGAACTGCTGGAAAATTACTCCCTACGCAAAAAGAGGCCTTGTCAGACACAGCTCTCCCAAGCCTGGGGTCCTTACTGTGCCAACTCAGCTCTCCTCTATTGTGGAGTACAAAAATAATTTCTGCTATGCATGCCTGGCGAATGAGGGTCCTTACCTAGACAGCTCTCCCAAAAATTGGGGTCCTGACTGCATTGCTAGGCTCTCCTCATCGCCGGCTGCACAACGGCCTCTTAAATGGCAAGGAAATTTGGACTCACCTGCCTCTGTCTTGCTGAAGATCTCCCGAATGTTGCTCCCTGTTGGCAGCTGTAAATTGCAGCGAGGGATTGACCGGCTTTTGATCAGCCATGCCCGGTTCCTTAATGGAGGGAGGACTCCTGTCTGATTCCCACTCACTCCGAAATTTCGGCTGCATTGCTCTGCAAGCGGTCACCAATATTCCGATCCATCAGCTCCTGCAAAGGTAAAGCCACATCTCCATATCGTAGCGACGGCAGCGTGGGAAGGTGACTGCGGCGTTGATCCTTTAAAATCAACTTTACCTGAAAAATAAATAAAAATTAATCAAAAAATAATTAGGGAAATCAAAACACAATCAACTCACCTATTCGCTGTTTTTGACCGGATCCCGCAAGAACTACCAGAGCAGCGGCTGCAAACTGGAAAGGCATCGCCAGCACTGACCGCGGCAAGCGATTGGCCATAAACAAATTTGCCACATGTGGTCTGCTGGCTGCAAGAAAGACCTCCGACCCCTGCTTGGTACTGGTCAACTGACTGCGCTGCTCCGCATGCATCATCAGCCAACAAATCCTGAAATTACAAAAAATTTTTATTGAATGGCTTGCATTTTTGGTAAACAATAGCTGCATTGCTTAAACTTTCCAAAAATTGATCTTCCTGGCGCCCGTTGACTGCAGCGAGGGACATTCCACAGAAAACCTGCCACATGCAGCCTCTTCCTGGCGAGAGGATCTAGGCCGAGCTCCCTCTTGGAGTCAGCACTCTGGCATCATTTTTCCAAAACGCCCTTCCAACGCCAGACTCTCTCTAGCTGCTGACTGCTGCTCGCCAGCCCTAAATCCTCACTGCGGCGAAATCTGAAAATAGAAAACATATTAATACATGAACGCGATAAACGAAAATACCAACCTGAATGCGGATACGAAGGGATCTCAAATTTGCTGAAGGAAAATTAAATTAAATACAAATAATTTTTCACGTAAAGAGGATCCTCGTCAGACGCAGCTCTCCCAAGCCTGGGGTCCTTACGGCGCCGACTCAGCTCTCCCCAATTCGGAGACCATAATGCCTTGCTATTTGCATGCCAGGCAAACGAGGGTCCTTACCTAGACAGCTCTCCCAAAAATTGGGGTCCTGACTGCATTGCTAGGCTCTCCTCATCGTCGGCCGCTAAACAGCCGCTTGTAAGGGCGAGGGAATTCGGACTCACCTGGCTCTATCCTATTGGATTTCTCTTGAACGTGGCTCTCCGCGGGCAACCGTTGACTGCAGTTAGGTTTTTGGCTGATTTTGGAACTGCCACTTCTGGCTTCCGATCTGGAGAAAGGACTTCAGCTTGACGCCCGCTTGACCCGGCACTTTGGCTGCACTGCTCTACATGCGGCCACCCAACGCCGGACTCTCTCGACATCGACTGCTGCACGGGACTCCCTCATCCTCCTCAAGCTGATCCCTCAAATAGGGAAAATATTCCGCGTCACCGGTTCCTGCAAAGGAAAAGCCACATCTTCTTGTCATAGCGACGGCAGCGTGGGAAGGGGACTGCGGCGTTGGACCTTCTAAATCATCTTTTACCTGAAAAAAATAAATCAAAAATAAATTAGGGAAATCAAAACAAACCATAATCAAACTCACCTGTTCGCTGCTTCCGACCGGATCCTGCCAGAACTACAAGAGCAGCGGCTGCTGACTGGAAAGCCATTGCCAATGCCACGATGGGGACCAAGGGCTGATGCTGGCCACGGCAAGCTTTTTGGCTGACAGCTAATTTCCCACTTGTGGTCCGTTGGCTGCAGGAGAGATCTCTGACCTCTGCTTGCTGCTGGTCCTCCGACTGCGCTGCTCTGTTTGCATCATCCTCCAACGAATCCTGGAAATACAAGAAATATGTTGAATAGCGTACACTTTTTGTAAACTATTTAAAATACTCACCAGACGAACCTCCCAAGCAGGCCGTTGCTTAAATTAATTATAAATATTTTCTCACATAAAGAGGGTCCTTGTCAGACGCAGCTCTCCCAAGCCTGGGGTCCTTACGGCGCCGACTCAGCATTCCCCATTATGGAGACCAAAATGCCCTGCTATTCGCATGCCAGGCAAACGAGGGTCCTTACCTAGACAGCTCTCCCAAAAAATTGGGGTCCTGACTGCATTGCTAGGCTCTCCTCGTCGCCGACCGCACAACAGCCGCATAAATTAAAATTCCACAAATTCAGACTCACCTGCCTCTGTTCTAGTGGTGCCCTGCTAAAGGTGGCCCTTCCTGGGCTCTCCGTTGGCAGCAGCGAGGGACAGCTGGCAGAAAATCTGCTATGCGATTCGCTTTTGGCTGGCGAGTGGACTCTAACTTGACTCCGCTGGTACTGCACATTGGCGGCGTCGCCCAAAAAAAAAAAGGCATCTGATGGCCGGTCTTGTCTTCTCCTCCGATTGCGGCGCTGGATTCAACGGCCCTCATCTCACTGGATTCTGGAATAATAAAATATATTACATCAAGGAAAATGTTTACTAGCTTAACGCATAATTTAAAGAATATGCATTTCCTTGCCGTATCGACTGTTGCGAGATACTACAGACTCCGGCGCGAGACGCTGACTGCAGTGCCGATGTCCAAAAAGCCATCACTCAGTTGATCCTGAAGCCAAAAGTAAATAGATCAGCATACATCCCAAAAGATTTATCCTGCTAGACGACCAGCTCCTGCAAAGAAAAATAAAATCAAACGACACAAACAAAACAAGGAAGCAACTTAAAAAATTCCTGACCTTCAAAATGAACATCTCCTGGTCGTTTTGATCGCTGCTAGTGGCTCATGACTGCAGCGTTTGACTCCGACGGCGGCGGGGGACTCCGGACCGCGGCGTGGGACTCCGACTGCGGCGTGGGACTCCTTCTGCGGCGTGGGATCCAGACTGCGGCGTGGTAACCAAGCCAGAGACTGCTTAGTCCAAATTTTTCCAATGGCTGGCCTCTATGAGCCACCCGTTGCTCGCGGTGGCAAGTTACAACAACCTCCAAAAACCTGCAAAGAAACAAATTCAAAACAAATTAGTCAACATCAAAACAATAATATATTAATACTTACCCGACTGTCCGACTATTCCACTACTCCATGTACCTTATTTTGCACTTACCTACTAATAAGACCGACTAGATCCTGCAAACACTTCCAAAGAGACGGCTGACGACGGATGCATCTCCTAAAAGCTAGAAATAATTATCATTGGTACCTGAAATTGAAATTAAATAACCACACTTACCTGCATACTGACACAGCTATAAGATAAATAATAATTATTAATATATTCAAAAAGTAGGAAATTACTTTACCAACCTTTTCTGACAAATTTATCTGCGCTTTGGGTTGCAGCTCTTCCAACGTAAACATAAACAAAACACACCAATACCAAGAAAGCGTCTCTTTGAAAAACTGCAGATGCAATATTTAAAACATGTGCAAAACAAGCCCTACTCACCAATGCTGCAGCCACCGCCTTCATTCCGAGAGTCCATTCCGTCCATTTAGTAAATTTTTAGAGTCCATTCCTTCCATTGTTTCTCATTTTCTGCAATTTAAATCAAAAAAGCCAAATGTAAACAATAGAAATCCAACAGTGTGACCAAATCGACAAACAGTCGAGAATCCAGCAGCCACGGTCTAAAGATCACCCAATTTCCAAACCACCCGAAAAATTAGAACAACCACCTGTTAAATTAAGTAGTATTTTTAGTATTCTTTTTTTATTGTTACGTTTCTGTTAAGCTACATTTTTCTATGTTTCTCTGTAAACTGCAATGTTAAATCTATGTTAAGCTAACATGTAAACTACTTGTACCTATATGTTACACCTCTGTAATAAAAGGGCAATAAAAACCCCACAACTTAGGAAGGGACAACCAGTCTCCTCCCAAGTTTGTGCCAGTTTACTTTAAAAAAATGGCAACCCTACGAACAGGTGGCAACCCTAAAAGTACGGTCACACTAAGGGTGGCAACCCAGGATACGGTCACACTAAACGGGGGGCCTAAAAGTATGCAATAGTAAAAATCGCGGGACGGTGGCGCTTCCTAGTGGGCGAAAGTGGCACTACTTCAAACCGAAGGTGGCGCCACCTAGTGTCCGGAAGTGGTACTAAAATGCCCAACAGTGGCGCCACCTATTGGCCAAAATTGGTACTAAAATGCCCACAGTGGCGCCACCTAGTGGCCAAAATTGGTACTAAAATGCCCACAGTGGCGCCACCTAGTGGCCAAAAGTGGTACTAAAATGCCCGACAGTGGCGCCACCTATTGGTCAAAACTGGTACTAAAATGCCAAACAGTGGCGCCACCTAGTGTGTCAAATTGGTACTACCGCGCGCGACGGTGGCGCTTTCTAGTGTGTCAAATTGGCACTCACCGTGCGCCCAACACGTATGCTACACTTTTTGCCACATCCGCCGATGCGCTCCTGCCGGCAACTATCAAAATTACTTTATACTGCGCCTTATTGCAGTGCCTGTCGGGGGCGGTGGATGGCCTAGCAGCTTAAGCGCGACACCACGAACCGAAAAGACCTGGGCTCGAGTCCAGGCAAAGGCAATTACAAAAAAAAAAAAAAAAAAAGATTTTTCTGAAGTAGATTAGATAGAGGGATTAGATAGAGGGATTCGATAGTAGGAGGAACTGTGCATGCCCTTAGACAGCTGCAGTCCAATACCCTGTCCTCATCCTAGTGTCCACATCCTCCACCCGAGTGTGTCGCCGGAGGATCAGGTGCCCTCCAGGAGAAAGTGGATGAGCAGGTGCCCTCCAGGAGTAGGCGGATGATGGCCTGGTCTGGCAACCCTACGAACAGGTGGCAACCCTAAAAGTACGGTCACACTAAGGGTGGCAACCCTAGGATACGGTCACACTAAACGGGGGGGCCCTGGGGGCTACACAGTGCGAAAACAGCGGTCTGGCAACCCTACGAACAGGTGGCAACCCTAAAAGTACGGTCACACTAAGGGTGGCAACCCTAGGATACGGTCACACTAAACGGGGGGCCCTGGGGGCTACACAGTGCGAAAACAGCGGTCTGGCAACCCTACGAACAGGTGGCAACCCTAAAAGTACGGTCACACTAAGGGTGGCAACCCTAGGATACGGTCACACTAAACGGGGGGCCCTGGGGGCTACACAGTGCGAAAACAGCGGTCTGGCAACCCTACGAACAGGTGGCAACCCTAAAAGTACGGTCACACTAAGGGTGGCAACCCTAGGATACGGTCACACTAAACGGGGGGCCCTGGGGGCTACACAGTGCGAAAACAGCGGTCTGGCAACCCTACGAAGAGGTGGCAACCCTAAAAGTACGGTCACACTAAGGGTGGCAACCCAGGATACGGTCACACTAAACGGGGGGCCTAAAAGTATGCAATAGTAAAAATCGCGGGACGGTGGCGCTTCCTAGTGGGCGAAAGTGGCACTACTTCAAACCGAAGGTGGCGCCACCTAGTGTCCGGAAGTGGTACTAAAATGCCCAACAGTGGCGCCACCTATTGGCCAAAATTGGTACTAAAATGCCCACAGTGGCGCCACCTAGTGGCCAAAAGTGGTACTAAAATGCCCGACAGTGGCGCCACCTATTGGTCAAAACTGGTACTAAAATGCCAAACAGTGGCGCCACCTAGTGTGTCAAATTGGTACTACCGCGCGCGACGGTGGCGCTTTCTAGTGTGTCAAATTGGCACTCACCGTGCGCCCAACACGTATGCTACACTTTTTGCTACATCCACCGATGCGCTCCTGCCGGCAACTATCAAAATTACTTTATACTGCGCCTTATTGCAGTGCCTGTCGGGGGCGGTGGATGGCCTAGCAGCTTAAGCGCGACACCACGAACCGAAAAGACCTGGGCTCGAGTCCAGGCAAAGGCAATTACAAAAAAAAAAAAAAAAAAAGATTTTTCTGAAGTAGATTAGATAGAGGGATTAGATAGAGGGATTCGATAGTAGGAGGAACTGTGCATGCCCTTAGACAGCTGCAGTCCAATACCCTGTCCTCATCCTAGTGTCCACATCCTCCACCCGAGTGTGTCGCCGGAGGATCAGGTGCCCTCCAGGAGAAAGTGGATGAGCAGGTGCCCTCCAGGAGTAGGCGGATGATGGCCTGGTCTGGCAACCCTACGAACAGGTGGCAACCCTAAAAGTACGGTCACACTAAGGGTGGCAACCCTAGGATACGGTCACACTAAACGGGGGGCCCTGGGGGCTACACAGTGCGAAAACAGCGGTCTGGCAACCCTACGAACAGGTGGCAACCCTAAAAGTACGGTCACACTAAGGGTGGCAACCCTAGGATACGGTCACACTAAACGGGGGGGCCCTGGGGGCTACACAGTGCGAAAACAGCGGTCTGGCAACCCTACGAACAGGTGGCAACCCTAAAAGTACGGTCACACTAAGGGTGGCAACCCTAGGATACGGTCACACTAAACGGGGGGCCCTGGGGGCTACACAGTGCGAAAACAGCGGTCTGGCAACCCTACGAACAGGTGGCAACCCTAAAAGTACGGTCACACTAAGGGTGGCAACCCTAGGATACGGTCACACTAAACGGGGGGCCCTGAGGGCTACACAGTGCGAAAACAGCGGTCTGGCAACCCTACGAACAGGTGGCAACCCTAAAAGTACGGTCACACTAAGGGTGGCAACCCTAGGATACGGCCACACTAAACGGGGGGCCTAAAAGTATGCAACAGTAAAACTCGCAGGACGGTGGCGCTTCCTAGTGGGCGAAATTGGCACTACTGCAAGCCAAAGGTGGCGCCACCTAGTGGTCAAAGGTGGTACTAAAAATACCAGACAGTGGCGCCACCTAGTGGCCAAAATTGGTACTAAAATGCCCGACAGTGGCGCCACCTATTGGCCAAAATTGGTACTAAAATGCCCGACAGTGGCGCCTCCTAGTGGTCAAAAGTGGTACTAAAACGCCCGACAGTGGCGCCACCTAGTGTCCGTCAGTGGTACTAAAATGCCCGACTGTGGCGCCACCTAGTTTCCGTAAGTGGTACTACCGCGCGCGACGGTGGCGCTCTCTAGTGTGTCAAATTGGTACTACCGCGCGCGACAGTGGCGCTCTCTAGTGTGTCAAATTGGTACTACCGCGCGCGACGGTGGCGCTCTCTAGTGTGTCAAATTGGTACTACCGCGCGCGACGCTGGCGCTTTCTAGTGTGTCAAATTGGCACTCACCGCGCGCCCAACACGTATGCTGCACTTTTTGCCACATCCGCCGATGCGCTCCTCCGGCAACAATCAAAATTACTTTATACTGCGCCTTATTGCAGTTCCTGTCGGGGGCGGTCGATGGCCTGGCAGCTTAAGCGCAAGACCACGAACCGAAAAGACCTGGGCTCGAGTCCAGGCAAAGGCAATTACAAAAAAAAAAAAAAAGATTTTTCTCAAGTAGGTTAGATAGAGGGATTCGATAGTGGGAACTGTGATATAAATAAGAGGTCGAATTGCGCGGCGGTGGCTGTTCTGAAACTATAGTCGCTCTCAAAAGGCGGCTACTCTAAAACTATGGTCACTCTCAAAAGGTGGCTGCTATGAAACTACTGGTCGCTCTCAAAAGGTGGCTGCTCTGAAGCCATGATCACTTTCAAAAGCTGGCTGCTATGAAACTATGGACACACTAAAAAGGTGGCAATGTGCTCAACATATTGTTCTATCAGATAAAAATATTAAAACAAATCTTACATGTAAATAAGAGGTCAAAATTGCACGGCGCGCGCAAAAAAGTGATTTTATACCGAAAAATTCGACCACATTCGGTTGTTGAAAACGCTGTAACTCCGTTAGTTTGACTCTAAAAGACTCAAAAATTTTACACAATGTGCTCAACATATTGGTCTATCAGATAAAAATATTAAAACAAATCTTACATGTAAATAAGAGGTCAAAATTGCACGGCGCGCGCAAAAAAGTGATTTTATACCGAAAAATTCGACCACATTCAGTCGTTGAAAACGCTGTAACTCCGTTAGTTTGACTCTAAAAGACTCAAAAATTTTACACAATGTGCTCAACATATTGGTCTATCAGATAAAAATATTTAAAAAAATCTTACATATTAATAAGATGTCAAAATTGCGCGGCGCGCAAAAAAAGTGATTTTATACTGAAAAATTCGACCACATTCGGTCGTTGAAATTGCTGTAACTCCGTTAGTTTGACTGTTAAAACGCTGTATCTCCGTTAGTTTGACTATAAATGACTCAACAATTTTACACAATGTTCTCAATATATTGGTCTTTTTGAAAAAAAATGTTTAAAAATTGAGAAATACAAATAGACGGGGAACTGCGTGGGGAGCGCATTTAAAGTACTTGTAGACGTTAAAATTCGGTCTGTTAAAACGCTGTAACACATCAATTGATGACGTGCGTCACTTATTTTAAAAAAATGGTACTCACCCTATAGTGTTTGGAGGCACTGCATCCTATAGGCCACTAAACGCAGGAAGGGATCAGCATTAACTGCAACGGGAATGAGTTAAAAACATAATTAAATTTGGAAATAATAAGTGCAACAATA